TTTTGGTTTTTCTCCGGTACCGGGAACCGAACTCACGACCTTGCGCTTGCCAGGCAGGCGCTTTTGCCGCTGAGCTAAATCCCCAGCCCCTCCGGCTGACATTTTAATAAAAATCCCAGAAGGTTTTTTTTTTTCTTTTTGAGACTGGGTATCATTATGCAGTTCAGGCTGGTCTTGAACTCACCGTAGTACAGGCAGGTCTCGAACTCGCAAAGATCCTTTTGCCTCCCGAGTGCTGGGATTACAGGCGTGTGCCACCACGCCCGGCTTCAACAGAAGATTTTACAGTCAATAACGCTAAACTCGCTTTCAAAGTACTGTTCTACTTGCACGGGAAGTGAAGAGATTGAGTCTGGAGAGCAAGAACACCGGGAAACCAGAATTCAGGGTGAACCGCCTCACCCCTTTCTAAGGGAGCAATCGTAACTAGTTTCAGAGTGTAAGCTGCGTTCCGAGAAGCGCACATTCGGTAGTGTAGCAACGCAGTTTTTAATTTAGCATTTTTTGTTCTTCCTGTAAAATATTAGAAACAAGAGAAAGCTCATCTTCTTTGGGAAACACGTGGTGCTTGATGCATGTAACGGGACCGCTTCGAAGCAGAGAGCCCGTCGGCATCAGTGGCGAATCTGCCGCTCCCAATGTGCGGCCCCATCGAGGACGCACAGGGAAGCCGTCGTCGCTCGGAGCAGCGCTCCTGTCTCTGCGGGAAAGGGCGCTCGCGTGTGCTGCGGTGAGCAGGGGCGACTTGGAGGGAGCTGGGCCCACGCCCGGGAGGAGGCAGGAGGCCGGCACGACGCCGGGTCCGCGCCGCGGGCGCCGCCATGTTGAGACCTGGCAAAGGGAAGCCTGGGCTGGTGTTCGGGGAGCAAGACGAGAGCTAGTGGGAGGATGGCCCCTTCCTTCCTACGCCCAGCCAGAGGGCGAGGAGTCGGAAGAGTTGGCCATCCAGGCCGTACCCTGGCAGAGGCTGCATTTGGAGGCGGGGATGGGGACACACTGGTGCCGGCGCCCCAGCCAGGCTTCCGCCTTTGCGTCTGCGGCGCCACTGCGCATGCCCGGAGGGGTCCGGGTGCCGGGGCGGCCCTTGGGTGGGAACGCCAGGAGCCCTGCTCCCGAAAGACCTCATAAGGAGAGATTTAAACAACAGAAAACTTGTATTTGCAGTATAATGACTTATAAACTATTTGTGTTGGTACTATCAAATCTTCACAAAAACCCAGCGAAGTGGCATTTAGTTACATTTTAGTTAAGAATCCTGAAACTCGACCTGCTCGCCTCCCAGTACTGGGAATTGAACTCTCGGCCTTATCACTCAGCCTTATTCTCAGCCGTTTCGTATTTTTTATGTTATTTATTTACTTTCTGGTACCGGGAGTCGAACTCAGGATCTCGCGCTTGCCAGGCAGGCACTGTGCCGCTGACTTATATCCCCGGGCCTGTATTTTTTATTTTGAGGCAGGGTCTCTTTAAATCATTTTATGACTTGGGCTGAGCACAAATTTGCGATCTTCCTGCCTCAGCCTGTCAGAATGCTGGGATTTCAAATTTCGCCACCACGCCTGGCCTCAATCTCAAAATTCAAAATACTTAAAATTTTGCCCAAGATGGAAGGACTAGCTCTTAAACCTGGGTGGCTCTCAACCCCGCACCCCATATAACAATGACCAGATTGTAAAAACCCAGGGATGGGGGCTGGGGATCTAGCTCAGCGGCAAAGCGCCTGCCTGGTAAGCACAAGGTCGTGAGTTCGGTTCCCAGTACCGGAGAAAAACCAAAACCAAAAACAAAAACAAAAAACAAAAAACAAACCAGGGATGGTTACAGGAAACCACCATCGGTGCTGCAACAGTGGAGCTAGACCAAGCAAGATCAATATGCGGCAGTGGAGACTGCTGTGCTGTCACTGTTGATGGAAGCATGCAGAAGGCGAGCAAAGCCCATGGTGTGTCTTGGTGATTCTCTTAGATTTTTCTTTGAAAAGGTCTTTGTTTTTTGAGACAAAGTCTCACTATGTAGTGCAGGTTGGCCTTGAATTTACTGTGAGGCCCCTGCTGGCCTTGAACTCCAGGTGATTGTTCTGCCTCAGCCTCCCAAGTGCTGGGACTACAGGCGTGTGCTACCGAGCCTGGCTAATTTCTTTCTGTCTTTTTGGTGCTGAGGATTGAATCCTGGTGGGTTTTCTTTGTCTTTGTCTTCAAAGCCGTCTACTTTCTTAAGGCCATCTGAGGAGATGATTAGGCACTCAGGCATCCGAAGCCCACAAAGCTCCTGCTTCTAGGCTAGGGATGGTGGTGCATGCCTGTAATCCCAGCACCCAGGAGGCTGAGGCGGGAGGATTGTTGTGAGTTCGACATTAACCTGGGCTACAAAGTGAGCTCAAGGCCAGCCTAAACTGCATAGGAGACCTTGTCTCAAAAAGACAAAAAAAAAAAAAAAAAAGCTCCTGGTTCTTAGCTCTAAAAGGCAGGAGTTGTGCCCAAGCCTGGTATTGGCAGTGTGATGCCTGGCACCTGTTGCTCGGGAAAGCCAGCTGTTGTTATGGGAGTCTTTTGCATCCTGTGATGGGGTGGGGGCAAGGCAGACACCAGAGATTTTAGGCCTGGTAGGAAGGGATTTCTTTCTACTTTTTTTTTTTTTTGTGCCAGGAGTCGCACTTAGGACCTTGTGCTTGCCAGGCAGGCGCTGTGCCGCTGAGCTATATTCCCAGCCCTCTTTCTGCTTTCTACCCTTTTTTTCCCTTACTTTTTCTACTGCTGTTAGAGGATATCAGAATAGGTAGGGAGAAACGTAAATAAAAAGTGCCCCTCCCCACCGGCTCAGAAAAAAATTGGTGGTAGCCAGTGTGATGCTCAGCTTGTCAGATTCCTAATAAAATCCTCTTTTTCTGATTTGGACAAATGGTTCTGTGAATTTTGGTGGGAGCTGGCTGTGTTTCCCTTGTATTATCCGGAAGAGACCTAGGATCTGGAGACAACAAACTGCAGAGTTCGCCGTGCTTGGGTCAACAATCCCCCTGGCTCAGCGAGTTCCGGGGGAGGACTCCGAAGCTGGCCTTGCCAGGACCAGCAGCCTCCAAGAGTGGCGAGGTGGGAGGCAGAAAGGAAGAAAATATTCTCAGCAGGGAAATTTTATCAGGAACACTTGGAGCTGCGGCCTTAGGGCACATTCAAGGAATGAGGGACCATCCTGTGTAGTTTGAAAATAAATTTTGTAAGCCAGGTGAGGTGGCGAGCCCCTGTAATCCCAGCACTGGGGAAGCTGAGGCAGGAGGATTGCTATGAGTTTGCAACCAGTGTGGACTATGTAGCCAACCCCATCTCAAAAAAAAAAATCTTTGCCAGGCGTGGTGGTGCACGCCTGTAATCCCAGCAGTTGGGAGGCTGAGGCAGGAGGATTGTTGTGAGTTTGAGACCAGCCTGGGCTACAAAGTAAGCTCAAGCCCAGTCTGAACTCCATAG